GCGCAGGAGAGGAAGGCCCTCTATGAGGTGGATTGATTCAGTGACTGGGATAATTGGGATGGGAGTGTCATAAACAGTGCGATTGGCACAGGACAGAGCGGAGTTTAGGGCTGTTGTACATAGGGTCGCTATGAGTCACAAGTGACTCGACGGCACATGACAACAAGAACAACAACAACAACCAGGATGGAACAACAGGACTTGGATTTGACCTCCCATCCAAATGACGACAAAACCAAATGAGAGATGAATCAGATGTTTTCAGATGTTGACTTTCAGGCAGTGAGGATCTACGATCTCTGAAAAAGTAAAACGAAACGATGAGCCCTATGGTGACACAGACTTACTTTCTGAAGGCTAGGAAGAAAGATCTTGTGGTCTATTTTCAAGAACCCAGCCATCCAAAACTCTACAGAGCACATTTCTTCTTAGACATGATGCAGCCATGAGTTAGAGACAGCTCTGTGTCAACTGGTTTGCTGGTATTTGCTTAAGAACCCAATCAGAGCTCAGGGATCTCAATGGCTTGAAGATACATAGACTATTGTTTGAGGAAACTGTCTTAGGCTGAGTTTTATAGAGATGCAAACTCAATGAAATTATCTATCTATCTAGGAAGCTCTGTTGGCCTAGTGGAAAGAAGACAGATCCGCTGAAATCTCAAAGTCATGTGGTTCAAATCCATCACTTCTCCAAATGGAGAAGGATGGTCAGTCTCCTCCTATATGATAACTGCTTCTGAAAACCTGTGAGAGGGTCGGTTCGGAGTCACTTCTGACTTGACAACACACAACAACAACAACAACTATTATTATTAATTATTATTATTATTATTATTATCTATCTATCTATCTATCTATCTATCTATCTATCTATCTTCTTTCAATTTTGTTGTTGCTGTTAACCATAGAGTCAGAATAGACTCACAGCTGACCCTCCACTGGGTTTTTTATGAGCAGTTAATCGCACAGAAGGAGATTGCCCATCTTTCTCCATTGGAGCATCTGATAGATTCCGTTTTGGGGATTGCAGTGCTGCTTCTTACCACTAGATGACTAGAACTCCCTAGAGATTGATTTATTTCAAGGAAACGGCTCAGATGCTTATAGAAGACAGCCAGTCCCAGGTCTCTAGGTCAGGCCTAAAGAGAGTTGTTTGGATAAACTAATGAGTCCAAGTCACCAGCAGGCTGGAAGAGCCTCAGGCTGCTGGCTTTGGAGGTTGCTGTCCTCAGAGGCTGAGGACTACAAAGATTGTCATCAGAGAGCAGACTCTGAGACAACCGGCTTTGGAGTCTGACAAGTCCAAAGGCAGCAAGCACACAGCCAATTGAGTCAAGTGTGGAGGTCACGAGCCAAATAGCCAGGTGTAGGACTGGACAAAAATCTCTACCTTTTCATCAGAGAATTCAAACCTATATATAATGCAGGCTATATCCCTAAGGAGAATTCTCCTTAACCAGATAAGGCTGATCATATCTTTATAAAACTGCCTCTAATCCTGTCCCATTAACAACAATACAGAGGTTAAAATTTACCCAAATCCTTTTCTATTCATCTATTACATGGAGAAGAAAGGCCTTCAACAACTCATATTATTTAGCAAACTTCTCTTTGAAGGGTAGATGAATGTGTGTGTGTGTAGA